GGTATGCATAGGTAAAATATTATCTCAGTTTCAAGTGATGGAATGTAAGGACCATTTGAAACTGAGATTGAGATTAAGGACCAGGTCTAATGAAACAAGAAGGATTTTTCCTGTTATGATTTATTGTTATTTCTACACATTGGCTAATTTGTCCGTAACAGAGTTGACAAACAATACCATAAAGACATGTTTTTTCATTAAAAGTAAAAAAACAAAAGGAAGTAACTTGTGTTTGGCAAGCACTGAATTATTCAAATTAAATATGTTTTCAATAAGATACTGAAAAAATAATCTGTTAGTGAAAAGGTTTTTTTCTTAACTTTCTGCAATGCCAAATGTATCTCCAATTATAGAATCACCCATGTACAATAAAAAAAAATTGCCTTTATATTCCTTCAGAATGAAACCAAGTCAATGTTTTACATAGATGTGTGTGTATTTCAGATGCAGATGTTTTGCAAGAACCCATCAAAATGAATAAGTGAATAGCAAATAGCAGTGGCTGGGGACATCCTTAAAGGACAACATTTTAGCAATATTTAGGCTGTGTGTGGCAATGTTTTCCACTGCTAAAGCATACAGGAAGAGAATGCAGACACCCCTGAGACAAAGAGGGATTTGGTCACTGTACCCACCAAGCTGTTTCCTCCCATTCTGGGTTTACAGGAAAATTTCATTGTTCTCCAGGCAAGGCATGAAGTGATGTTGAAAAGATGGTCGCCAATTTTATTAGTGGTTGCCAAAACAGATACTATACAGACATTAACTTCAATTTGCATGATTAACGGACAATGGCTTAATGCCCTCCTCCACCCTTTGCGAAAATTAAACGTGCACAACAAGGCATACTGAACATTGAAATAAGCCTGGTCTTTCCCTAAATACAATTCTTCACCAGGATGTCAGCAACTTTCCTCAGGCCAGATCCTTCCTCTTTCATTCTGTGTAACTGTGAATAACTGTGTGGAACATTAGAGACGTTCATGTGTTTATTGAAAGCCCTGTATGATTTCACAGCATGTCGGTGATGCTATATCATCATTACTCACATTCTTTAACCAAAACCAGTCTTGTGCGAACATTAAAGCGATAAATGACAAAGTGAGAAAACTGAGCTAAAAGATGGTTTCTAATGGTTTTACAGTCTGCATCTGGGGTGTGGAAGATGACTGCAAACAATGAGTTGTTGAGAATCTTGTGATGGCTTGGTAAGCCTTGGTAGGTAATTAAATGCAAAGACATATATATAGGTCTGCAGTTCATCTACAAATACATTTCCCAGATCTGCCATGGATTATTTTTGGTTCAACAGCAAAGAACAAGGGCAAACAGTGAACAAGACAGAAAATGTCATCCCCTCATGCAGCATAAGGTTTATGTCTGATGAAGAGAGGGAAATAGCAGGTTTTCCCTGGATGTAAGCCCCCTAACTAAACATATGCCCGGATCTTGCTTAGATCTGCTCCACTCATGGGAGAGTTTCGCCCTCTAGTGGAACGGAACGCTTTGTGCTAAATGCAATGTTTAATTTTTAACGTTACTCGTTCCCTCAAACTGTTTGCTCTCAAAACGTGTCAAGTTCCACTAATGTGTCTCCTTAAAAAGATTTACTCGATTCAATTTTCAATTGAATGACCTCAAAGTTACTAAAAATCAAATATCATGTGTCTGTTGAAAAAAAACAGCATATGCTGGTAAAGTATGTTTTGAAGCTGGGATGCTGGTTTGAGCTGTTTTAAGCTGGTCCTTTGCTGGTTTATGCTGGTCCTTAGCTGGTCCGACCAGTTTAAGATCAGCACATGACCATCTAACGACCAGTTTAAACCAGCAAAGGACCAGCTTAAACCAGCATCCTAGCTTCAAAACATACCTAACTAGCTAGCATATGCAGTTTTTTTCAACAAAGTGTAAATAAATTACGACTGAGCTGGGAGTGTTGGATATAACGGGCGACATTGATACAAGATTTCATATTATTTTACCGCATGTTCACGTATTGTAGCGATACTTTAGACTAGAGACAATGTATTTTAAAGTTTTTTTTTTTTTTTGAGGTACCAGTCAGTTATTTTCTGTGATCATCACCGTCAGTTGAGTTTTTATTGAAGTCCATTCCTGTGCGGTAAGGTAATTTTGATTCCCTCATGAATACTGCTAATATATAATTTGATGCAACTTAAGCTCACATTGAAAATGGACACAGTTGTTTTCTTTATTTTAGATTTTATTTCACTCACATTTCATATAAAACTTTGTATGTTTTGTCTCCTCTGTAGGCAACAGTTAGCATAAGTCACTCTTACAGTGTACAATTCAACTCCATCCAGCCTTATTAATAAAGCACCTCTAACACACACAAAACAAACAAACATAATCACATAAAATCATAATGTAAGTTGGTTTTCAGTTACTGTAGTGGTCTCAAATCTGAGAACTTAAAAAGGAGGTGATATAGAAAACAAAAATATATCTGACTAAAAAGATACTTTGCGTTACAGCTCCAAATACATTAGCATGTGAGATATTTAAGCCTCCTTTTTAAAGGCATTAGGTTTTAGACCACTGGACGGATAGATGTTTATATGTAAAAAAAAATTGAACAACAAACAAGACTGACTCTCGGTCTACCACGTTTTGGTCAATAGCAGGCCCTTCGACCACCATTTTTAAGGATACGTCAGTTTCTAGCTCAGACACTGCTACAGACAAAACGCATTTGAGTGCAGGAATGTGTGGAGATGGCATATATTTCCACATGTTCAACATAAAAACAGAAAGAAAACACACATAGCCAATACATTAAGATCATTCAGTAAACTGAGACGAAGAGACATGTTAACATACAATGAGGCAAAAACCAATTAAGAAAAAAACAGTTATAAACAGTAACAGTATAAAACAACATCCTTCTTGTTTGATTGGTCATTTGCAAAACTATTGCAAAATTGTTGCAGATTTAGATTTGAATCAAACTTAATGCTTGGAGCTTTACAATGTTAAGTCATGAGGGTGCAATCATGCTAACAAATTCACGATTAACCTCACATGCTCCATTTTGGCTAGTGTAATCACATAATGAAGCATCTACTTTACTCATGAATTAAGGATGAGTAAACTTGAAGCAGAGATAACAGCAACATTTGCATTTACAACCAACTATGTGTGGATTTTTAACATTTCTTTTTTCTCTCTCTACATATATTCTACATACAGTGTTAATATTAATATGTAAAAACTAAAATAAGAGCACCTTTTGAAATATGATGACCCCATACTGCACTCAGAAACATAGGTTCATCTCACAAATCAGCATCAATCTTTCTGGCACACGTACAAACACTCATACACACTGCAAAATGACAATTTTTTTATGGGTTCCTTACATTTAAATAATTTAGCAACATCACAGAACTCATTATACTATTTGAAGACACCTTTTTTTTTCATGTAACCATTCAAATTATTACTTTGTCTTTAACATTAAACAGAAGTGAACTGAAACAACTTTAACTGAAAGCATCTTAAGTAAAATTTTCACCAACATTATTCATATTCTAAAACAAGAGGGATGAGAGAGGAATGGACTATAAAAATGCAACAGGGAAGAACAGTAAGGATAAAGAAGTGAGATAGATGGTCTTCACAGGGTTTAAATGCAGGTTTGGACATTTAAAATGAGGTGCACTGTTGACGAAATTATAATCAGCCTAACTTGTAATGTTACTTAAATACAAGGACTGGTTAAAACTGTGGGTTTAAAAGTTGAACTTATACGGGTCACAATCTCACAAAATGTGTTATTACATTTTTAAAATATAAAGTCAATTCTTGCATTGTGTCATTGAAAATTAACCACATTTTCACCTAACTTCTTATTACCGTCAAGTAAAAAAAAAAAAAAAAGTAATTACAAAATAAAACGTTTTTTTTGCCTTTTTTTCTCTTTTGAAATGTGAACTGGACGTGTTTTCATGAGATTCACCCATACAATTTCTTCTGTAATCTTTAAAGGTTTGATGTGCAATAAATGTGTATGATCTCATTCACTCCTGAAAAATGAAAACACACCCCAAAAAAAAAAAAATCAAATGATTGTAGATGACAATACTCACACACATTGTCTTCGCCCTAACAATACAAAGCGGTGGTAAATAAATAAACGTCCATGAACTGGGACGGTAGGCTACAGCTTCAAATGGTGTCAGGTCAAGACTACGATAAATCAGTAAAGAACTGCTGTGCAAATGAATTGCACATTCATTCATCCTCCTGATCCCCTCTCAGCAAGTTCAAACGAATCAAGTTTTCAACGTGCATACAGAGAACAAGCAGCTTTTTCACTCATCTTCATGCTAGCTCTTAGCAAAACACTTGTACAGTACATGAAAACCAAGTATTTCCAGGATTGTTGGGTCTATTCACAGGAAGGATGCTACAAACAACACCCTCTTCTAAAATTAGCAACCCCTTCTCTTAACGTTAGCACTGAGTTAGCATTAGCCATATGCATATTACTAAGGTTGCATTCACGCCCTGGAAGAATTACAGGATTCCGAGAATTAAAAACTATTCAAGGCCTTTGGAATCTTTTGCAATTCCAACTCTGGAAATTATTCATTTTATAAAAGCTCCATTCCAAGGTTAATGTAGTGATTTTTTTTTGTTATAAGCAACAAAGCTGTGCGTGAATACATTTTGTCATTATGAGCATTGTCACAGAAACGGAGTTTGAACAGCTGAGAGTTGTCATCTCATAACTGTGGTAATTCGAACAACACATGAACATAGCGTTAGCATATACCCTTCCTGACAGTGCCAATAGTTGTTGGGGTGCAGTATCGGAAACTCTACAAACTGGAAAGGCCATACAAAGCCGCTGGATAATCCTGAAAATGCTTGTTCCTCGACATAAAGGCCACTTTTTTCCCCACTAGTATCAAGTAATAAACTGATACCATATTGGAAAAACAAACACTTGTTGTCACATCAGGATCTCTGCTTTTCTTGAGTTTATTTTTTCATTTTTTAAATAAATTATTCTATTTTTCTGTTTTTTAATAACTTATTTTACCACGGACAACCTACTTCAAACACAGTACATGCTTATCTCCAGCTAAATTGGATACAAACCCGTGAAGGTAACTTGTTTCTTTAACATGTAATAACATTATGCAGTCATGTAACGTATCGCACTGTGTGGAGTAGGCTCTCTTTGAATTTAATGACTAACTTGTGCAAAACATCTGCAGAGGTGATGGTCTCTACACTTCTGGAGGAAGTTGTACTGCCTTTTCATCCAGTGACAGGCACGTCTCGAGGCATTCCCTGTCATTTGAGGCCTGTTCAGGACAAAGTTGTTCTTCGCCCCCATTCTCGAGAGGTGGAGGTACTTCGACAGACAAGCTCTTGGCCGAATCCTGCCCGCAGGTTTCTTGTTTTTGCTGATCACTCTCCATATCTGGATCCCCACCTTCGCTCACCACCTCCTCTACTTGCGCAGGAAGTGTCTCAAAGGCTGCTGTCTCTACATGACCTACCTGATAATAGAGGACAGAAGCAGGATCTTTGAGCAGCCTCTGCTCGGTCTGTTCATCTGCATGGTTCTCTGTAATACACAGCAGAGTGGCACCTTCAGGAAAAGGCCCTTCTAGAAGGACACCCTCAACACCTTCCATGCCCTCCATCCCAGCCTGGCTGGTGAGGGCGCCCTGCAGGAGGCAAAGGGTTGGGTCAGTGGTCTGCGCCTCCTCGACCTGCTGCTCTTCTTGTTCCAGTCTCCTTTCCCATTCCTCCGCACTCTGTAGGTGAAGCACGGCTGTTTCATTCTCACGCTCCAGGCTGTCGCACTGCTCCTCTTGCAGCTCCTGAACACTTTGGCTTTCCACCTCCACATCCGAGTCCAAGGGAGAAAAAGACAGAGATGGCGAGGAGACTAACTCTGTCTCTTCCCCACAATCCTCTCCAGACCTTACACCCAACAGGCTTCTCTTTTCCAGGTCAAGTTTCATGATAGTGTGAAGATAGTGGGTACGCACACGAAGAGGGTTGAACTCAATGCGGCCAGCTGTATTACCACAACCGTCACGGGTGCAGCCACATGGGAAGGACATCCGATCCACCTTTGGAACATGGTACAAGAGAAAGAGCATGTCTTTTATTTGAATAGGCTAATAGACCAAATCAGGGGTGTCTGATCCTGCTTTTGGAGGACAACCTTTAAGCATAGTTTAGCTCCAGTCCCAATTAAACACACCTGAACCAGCAACTCAAGTTCCTCAGGATCACTAGAAACATTCAGGCAGGTGTGCTTGAGCTAAACTCTACAGGATGGTGGCCCTCAAGGAGCAGCATGGTACACCCCAGGGCGAACTGGACACAACTTGATAAAAATAAAGTTTAACTTCTGAGACTACCAAGTGCCGTACCTGGCACTTAATTCCAGCTTGGCTGCATCCGCAGTGCCGAGGGTCGCAGTAGAAGAGGCAGTCACAACCACACTCCTCCCGGGACAAACGTATGGCACGCAGCTCAGCCTTTTCTCTGGCATCTATACAGGCAATTCCTGAGGCCCTCAGTAGTGCCCGACGCCTCTTGGTTGGAAGAGGCTGCAGGAAGAAGCAATCGTCCACCTCTACACTCTCAACGTCCAGATCCTCATCAGATATGTCATCCAGGGTAAGCAACTCAGCTTCGGGGCAATCCACAGTTCCATTCCGTGTCAGCTGGGAAAAGTCAGGTCAAAGAGATCTTAAAATCAAAACAAAATGGCTACTCTACTGCAAAAGCAGAATCCTGTAGGAACAACAGAAGCTAGAACAGAACAATGACAAACAACTAACCTTTAACTTGCGAGCATTGAGTTTTTCTTGCCGTAGGTGTTGACGCAGCACATGCTTGTGGCTGCTCTCTTGTTCTCGTGCAAACTCGCCAAGGGTGTAATGTCGTATAGCACAGTGATGGCGTGCCATGCCCAGGGAGCTGCCTCCCTGACTTGGCACACTGGTAAAGCCCTGCCTTCTGGAGAAGTAATAGACTGTCACTGCGTCAAAGCATACCTGCTTACGACCTAAAGATGCTTTGTGTCTTCTGAGAATGGAGTGGGCTACAGAAACAAGATAAAGAGATACTGTAAACAATAATGTTTTGGTCTATTGCTTTAGTACTCAACCTACGTTTACTTAAATTACAATATAGTGGTTCAAACGAAGTCTCACTTTATCCCAAAATGGTGTTTAAAGGGGTCATATGATGCTGCTAAAAAGAACATTATTTTGTGTATTTGGTGTAATGAAATGTGTTTATGCGGTTTAAGGTTAAAAAAAACATTATTTTCCACATACTGTACATTATTGTTTCTCCTCTATGCCCCGCCTTTCTGAAAGGGCATGATTTTTACAAAGCTCATCTCAAGGTTTGCTGCATTAGCCACAATGACCAAGTAAGACGTGTCCCTCAAACAATATTCTTTGTTGGTCCTGGAACAACATTTCTATTAAGGAAAACTAAACCTTACTCCGACCCCTATTCATAACCTATCACTAACATCTGTGGGAAATAATTAATTGATAAGTATATATTTCTCTATAGCTATAAGACTAACCCTAACCTTAAACCTACACCTAAATCTGATTGTTTAAAAGCATTGTTGCTCCATTCCGACAAGGATGTTGGTCCAGAAACATCTATGGATGAGGGTCTTGTAGCTCTTACAAACAAAAGAGAACTGCCAACTTGGTTGAAGAACTGGCTCAAGAGGTTATCATGGTCCACAGACTGTCTTAATAGTATATTTCTGAAAGGGTACCTATGTGTAAAATTAAGTAAATAAGCTAAGAAAGAAGCTGTTGCACTTTACACTGAAATGTTATGATTTGCAACTGCTGCAATAGTGCAAATGTTATATGTGGAATTAGCTCAGGGGCTAGGAACAAAACAAAACGCCGGGAAATTGTTTGAGCTCCTTCATAACTTACGGCCAGGAAGTTGTTATAATAATGAAATTATAAGACTAACTTGTGGTGTGTTCTTACGTGTGAGAGAGCTGGAGGGAGCATTGAGACTGTCGCAGCTATCAGCGCTGTCACTGACAGAGATGTCATCATCCGAATCTTTGGGTGTGGAACACGGCGAGCCGCTGTCCACCTCCTCGAATCTGCGCTTCAGGCCTCGAGATGACACTGTCTCCATGGAAACACTGCGTCTGGAGGCATTACAGATAGGTACAAGCTTTGTCCGACAGACTGAAAGAATATTACTGGCAAAATTAAAAAACATGAACAATCATGACTTAAGAGTGTGCATAGCCAGTAGGATATGTATGGATTTTCAAATAGTTGTATCTCGGTCAAATATTGTCCTATGCTAACAAACCATACATCAATGGAAAGCTTATTTATTCAGCTTTCAGATCATGTACAAGACTCAATTTTGAAAAATTGACACTTGTGACTGGTTTTGTGGTCCAGGGTCACATATAACATAAAAATGCAATCAAAAAAGGCCACATTCAACAATCTGGAAGCTTATGCAACATCACCTATTTTGCTACCTAATCCTTGACATTCGCTTTCTCCATCCAGCATGAAAGTCCTGCTTAAAAATCATGAAGCCTGCAAACGTCACCATGGTTTGACGTTACCATGGTAACTGGTTTAAAGCAATAGCCATGGAAAAACTGCATCCACATTTTGGGTCTCTTTCACCCCCATTAAAACCGTTGGAACCTTACAAACAACAAGCCTTTGCAAGCCGATGACAAGACCGGTTCAGTCAAACCAGAGAGGTCACACAAGGCCGAGTCGGGATGTTTGATCAGACCACCTCCTTAGCCCGAGGGAGCTGTGTAATACAACTGCTTTGAGCGGCTCCATGCCTGATTTTCTTCATGGTTAAACACTATTTTTAAACAGTCAGTGGCTTTTTGCCGGGTTAAATGAGAACAGTTTGGCGGTGGCTTTGAGGAAAGGTCGACTTTTTCCATGTGAAGGAGAAAAAAGATGACTTGTGAATTATGACTGACAATTAAACTCAAAGCATAATGGATTTAGTCCCACAGATTTGTGAAATCCATAATAACTGAATTCGTTTTATGAACTCTGATTATGAATGCTATGGAAATAGCATTAGCCTGACTCAGCTTGAGCATATGAATGTCTTATTTATTCATTTTTATAATCATTCATTCAATAATCAGGCCGGGTAGTCTCGAATTCAAGCCACATACATGCCAATCACCTATCGCTGGCAAAGAATACATTACGACCTTGAAACATCAAAAGCAGCTGCAACTAACATCAGGATGATGAAATGAACGAGATGCCCGATTGAGTATACGCTGCTTTACACATCAGTGTCTGACACACAGGGCGCTGCTCTTGAATGAACCGTATCCATAGAAACAAGAAATGCTAAGAAACAAGTCCATTTTTGCTTGCTGTGAAACTGACCTCGCTTTCATGTGTACCTTTTATAATCAATGCTACCGTGGTGATGCAGTAAAATACACAGAAATGATGTGGTGATGTACATGTAAGCTGCTAGCAAATAATACAGTACGCCAATTACTGTGCATTCAGTGAAGCGTGCCACGATTTCTTCTCCGAGCCAAACTTAGAGCATGTCACTACTATTGGACACCATCATGTGCACTCACAGTGTCTTAAAAGCGTATGTTCTAACATACATATGGTAAAACAATGCAATTACATACATCTAAGTACTAAAACTAGTCACATATGCAACTAACTGGCAGTTAACCCAGGTAACATCAATCTAAAACACTTTTCTAGATGTAAAGAAGTAATCAGTCCTTGATTTGTGAGTTACGATCATTGGCAAGTGGAAAGAGGCTTTTAAAAGCACTCCACTGTATCGTAAAAATGGCAGGACTAGATATGGGCCTCAAACAGAAAATTTAACCCAATGCACATCAAATAACTGAAACGAACATCATGCAGAGGTGTATGTAGGATAAGAACATGTTTGCAGACAAACTAACTAGTTTCTGAATGCCGAACAGGTCATTTAAAAGCAGGGATGCAACTGCGAAGCTGAAATATGTTTGTTTGCAGATCTCCTGACACACATCCTGTGGCCTATTTGAGGCGGACAGAAAGCGTGAATAATTACCTTACAGTACTGACTACACATCAGCTTGTTTGACTGGTCTGCACTGAAATAGCTTGTCCTAGACATATGACACATAAACATCACGTCTTTCTTTTCCAGCATCGACAAAATCTGCATAGGCGACGTTGCAATTTCTGGAAATGCAAACATTATTCCCATTCCATGGACGCATCCATGCACCACTTCCATGCACAACCAGCAGATGGAATTTAAAGAGGTTTATCAATAGAAAAAGAAAAAGTGGAGGATTTAGCATCACACTTCGCACTATAGTGTCCATGTTACTAGAAATAATTATTTTAGCAATAATATGCATTTACAAAACAGGTACACATCATACAATATGAACACTATTGTAAAACATGACTGCATCAGGCTGAGGTATCATTTATCCCTTTAAACTAAGTAGTATATAATTTTATTTTAATAGTATTTAAGAAATAATAGTAAAGGAACAAATTGCAAATATTTGTCAGTTAATTCTATAGAGATCTGGAGTTCTGTGTTTTAATTGAATTTTAACTGTCATTTGTATTTATCATTTTATTGTATTATGTATTTGTTGGTAATTATAGTAGTAACTATTCAAATAGTTAGGTATTTCATGCAATGGATACTATTTATTGCATTGCATGATTTATTATTATTATTGTAGTATGTATTACAGCTATTACTAGTTTTATCTTACTAGTTCACTAAAAGTAGCCATTGTGACTAGTGAAAGAAATGTCACTCGTAACAAATGGTATATGTAAAAGTGTCTCAAACTAGCATGTCTGACAATTAAGTACTAGTGATTCTGGTACAAATACTAGTGACTAAGAAGTACCTAATGAAGTACTAGCAACAAATCCAGTAAAATATTAAGAGGTGAAGCACATATTTCTATAGAACGCCATTACAAAAATGGTTACCAGTACTAGATTAATAGCTCGTAGCAAAGAAAGAGTGTGTAATGAAACAGTACTAGTAAAATAAGTACCAACTAGTAGGCTAAGTGCTAGTGAAACCTAATTAGACACTAGTTAGTTTAAAGGAATATGCCTAAATGTTGAGAAGGCTTGCCACAATGTGGATGACACATCATATATGATCTATCCCATTATTTTATATTCTTTACTGGAAAACGCAGACAGAGGGTCTTATGACAGAGCAGAAAATGTCATGCTGTGTTGCAACCGGTCCAATGATCAACCCATTTTTCCTCGTAGGCTGGGCTGTATGGGAAAGACAGGCAGAAGTGAAACACAAAACCTTTCTCATAGGCTTACCTTGGGCAGAAATAGAGAGCCTTTAAACCGGCGAAGCTGTAGCTCGATCAGTGCTTCCTTAATTTGGATGGTTCTTTTCTTTGGGGATTTTGAGCCTATTTCAGCTTTAGACTTACACAAGGTTACAAGATGACAGACAAAAGCGACTTCAGCCCATCGAAATGGCCAGACCAATAGAGAAATAGCAATTTCTTCACGAAGATATAGTGATGTCCGAACATTTAAGCATCGTAAACAATAGATATTGGTCTTGACATAGACTATAAATGAGGGTTTTGTGTATCAAGAAGGCTATGCGGGCATTCAACGTTGCAGTCAAGCTCTGTAAAAATTAAAAACGGGGCAGACGAAGGCAGACAAGGACCATTTTCATTAAAAAATACTAATCCCGGAGCAGATGCATCCAATAAATGCAGATAAAATCTCTAGGTGATCCTTAAAAATGCCTGCATTCAAAAAGACCAAATAGAGCCGAGCCTTCGGGGGGGGTTTTTCCTCCGGATAGGTGGTTGTGTTCTGCGCTATGTTTAGACAAATCGCAGCGTTATATTTCCACCCCGAAGGAAAGAAAAAAACAAAAATGATGTGTAGTATCTGTCGGCCCGACGACCCTATGGGCCTCACTTCTGCCCCGGTTTGTTACAATGTAACAATAGAGGAAGGAATGCCGCACGGGACACATATATACTTATTGTGACGTCATGGACGTGCCGGCGACGTAGAGGTTGCCGGGAAATGTAGTTCTAGAGTGCCTTTTGTTAGCATGGGAAGCTACGCTGTCTTCCTCGACAGGAAAACGGATATTGTTTCTCTGAATGGTTATATTTCGGAACAAGGCGTGTAAAGCAATAAAGGGCACCTGTATCGCAAACAAACGTCCCATTTGTGACATTTACGCTAGGCTAGCTGGGCCCATTAGTAGTCCTCGCTTCGGGTTTTTTTTTTTTACAGCACGGTTTCCATGGAAACTAAGTGGGTCGTTTTTAAACTGCAGTCAAACACTATAAGCAAGAGACTGATAATGAAAAATAAATTACAAGTATAAAAATATACTTGGGTAAATCTCACAAAGTCTGTTAAGAACATGCTGGGGTCACATTTCGTCTTGAAACTCAATCTGTACATCACAGAACTTTGTTATACTGCATTAATGCTGATTTACATACAAATATTGTACTTTATATTAGTAATTTTATGATTTTATTTTTAATTGTCATAAAAAATAATGTTTTTCATTTCCTTTATGCAAAATATAGATCTATTGATTGAGGTAAAATGTTAAACAGGTAAATTTTTGTGAAATTCACCCAGGTAACCAAAGACTTTTGAAGCGTTTTCACGTTATAAATGCCCATTAAGTGCTTAAAATTGTTGTAGCCATAGGGTTGAGTGAGAAAAAAAGTTAATGCCACATAAAAAACAAAAACAAAAAAAAACAGCTTGTTTCAAGGCAGGTCATTTTAATAATTGCAATGACACGGTAAAGGGTCACAACAGACAATACCTCACGTCTTTACCATCTTGGTCTGGTTTGCGTCTAGCACTAACCACGGCTACCATTTCTCATGCAGTGCAATGTTTCTCCCCTTTACCCGACCTGAAAGATTAGTACATCAGTGGTCATATCCAAAAGGAAACAAAAAGAAAGTAAATCATGATCTCTCTTATACCATAAAATAGTGCTCTGGCAAGTCGGACATTTGTAAAAACTATACAATGCAATGATGAAAAAAATGAAAGGGGGGAGAGGTGTTAAGCACAATGTTAAAAAAATAAAATAAAAGACGTACATATATAATGCCCACTGCTGCCGTTCATCTCCTGCCTATAAAATGACGTGCATTTGCAGCAACACCTGAAAAATCATCAGGGATCAAAGCTACTGAACCTAATATCATGTCCAACAGTCACAGTCTCGTCCACAAGGCTTAAGAAATCAACAATTAACTTATGAAAAGCATCATTCTCGCAGCAATGCTTTAGTCAAGCCGCTCGCCGTGAACCTGTCAAAAAATCTTAACTTGAAAACAGTGTGGCAGTACAGAGGGAATTTCATTCATTCTGTCCCTCACAACATCTGTGATCATATCAAGATCATTCGCTAAAATTGGGGTGACAATATAAGAACGGGACTGCCTACTTTTTCCCACAGGTGACAGAACTGACGACAACGTTCATCATGAACTGAGGCAATTTCATAAGTGTCCTAGAAATCTCTGGGCCTACCAGCGACATAAATTTCCACTTTTGTTGTTTATAAAGCATGTATTCATTGAGCCATGTGGACTGCACTTCACTGGTGGGGGGCACATCCAGGCAGACAACACCAAATAATACTGTATGCCAGCCAATTCTCTCCGTTTAAGCCGGTAAAGCCATAGCACATTATAAACATATTTTTCTGCCTTTAAAAACAGCAACAAAGCAAATTGATGCAAAGAAAGTTATTAAAATAGAAATTCTGTAATTTGTTTTGCAAGTGTAAATGGGAAGGGGTGGAACAAGGCAGCACACACTCCATGGATAAAACAGTAAAGGTTTCAAAATGCGTCAGGTGCCTTTTTCCTTTCCCATGATCGCCTCCATTATTATTCCAAGCCAAGTGATCTTCGGTAAGGTCCAGGAAGTGTGCAGGGAAGGGGCTGTGGTTTGAATCTTAAGAAAAAACATAAGGGGCCTGTTCACTCCCCCACATCCTTTGTTTTCACTTCAAAATGATGTGATAGCCATCGTTTGTTTCAGCTGCAAATTTAATCGAAAGAGTGCAAGTTATAAAACAGAGGTTACCTAGAAACAAGGACATGTGGGTTTAAACTTGTCAATACTTTGAAAAAAAAAAAACTGGCTTGCTCATACCTTTCATTGTGTCCAGGACAAAACACGTCTCATCTTGAAAGTTCTGAATCATCTGTTTGAATGAGAACAAAGATTACATCAGAAAAATAGATAAAACGGAAGTAGCCTCTTATTTTTTCTTCTGTATCGTGACAGACATCGGATTATCAAAATAGAAAAAAAAATTAAAATGTAGGATGGGGACTTGTTTCTGTCCATCGGCCGTTAATTGGATTTTAAGAAGTGGGCATTGAACTCAAAAATTAATGTGTGCAAACATGCAAAGTAAGAGAAGTACGACATGCATCACCAGAGAAAAGTCTGTCGTTTTCATGACATTTAGTTTCCTAACACAAGTTCCTTGGTCTTATTGCACACGTTACAACAACATGATCCGCCTCTGAAGTGGTTTTTATTTTTAACTCACCAAGCCTTCTTATTTTACAACCCTATTATCCAAACATCAGGCTCAATTGATCCTTAGCAGGGAGTTCTAACATCTTTCCGCGTTTGAAACAAGAAACCTTCTGATGTTCATTCAAGTTTATTTCGTGCTATAACTAGTGAAGAGTAAGAGATGATCGGTTCACGTGTCGCTTGAACTGAGGCGCTACAGCGATCGGTCATGACACATTAAAGAGCCACAAAATGGTATTTATTGTTTGAATTTCTTACAAAATGACAAAATTTGAAAGCTGAGACTTTGTTTCATACCAAAAGTAACCTGCTCTGTCTTGTCTGTTGGCATGTTTTCAGTGAACTCCATAAAATGGTTTTGAAAACTGTGAGTTGGCAAAAATTACAGTGCCTGCCATTGTAAAGACTGTAAGTCTATCCCTCACAGCCTTGTTTTCATCCACGTTAAATTCAATATGCTGTCTAGCAGGTCTACTACTGATGGATAAAATCAAGTGCTGTCTCTTTTTATCCCCACACTAGAGCTTTTGGCCCAAACCTCATTGAATTTGGTTTTGCAAACTTGGGTCCGTGTGGACTCCAGTGTGATACACAATTGGTATGAAAGCAATCTGCTCTTATTTGTGGAAATGAACTGCTATCGATGATGGATTAATGACTACCAATGCACTGCAAGCACAGCAGCAAATTCTGCAAGCTCTGCAGAAATGGCCTTAGGCGAGCAGCTTGCATCTCTTACAATGGATCTTCAGACCAAAGAATTGAAACAAAGTGTGAAAATAGCTTTAAGCTTGCCCTCTATTAAGTAGCAATAGGGTTAACGTTGCATGGTTACAATCCTGGGATTACTATCATGCCTCATTGTTGTTGTGTCCTTGAATAAACTACTGCCTTCTAGGGACAGAGCCCAAAGGGACAACTTTAACATATGAATGTGTTAGAGGATGAATTTCAAAGTTCAAGAAAGCTAATTTCAACAGTAAACTGATCCTTGCCACGCCTGTAAAGTGACGGGAATGTCTTCATAGTGAGCACAGGTTAGTGCGCGAAAATCTAAACATTGAATTGCGCAAACATTTTTGTCAGCCATACCACTTAGATATAAATATATTTACTTAAGTAACCCCTAAGATTAAAGTTAATATTTCAATAATTTAACAACACATTCACGGTTCTCTCTTGGTTAATTGTCAAATGACATGCAGGCAAACGGATTAAAATATTGAATCTTTTTTCAGCAAATGTTTAATCTTGATCGCTTTTATTTAAATCATATACGGCTGCACAACGTGGCAAAAAATATTGCAATTAAAAGTGATATGATTTCATCTCGTATGAAAATGTCTCATATTGCTACTGCTGAAACCAACTAAGACCTCTTTCAGGGTCTTTTTTATTATTATTATTAGTTTTAACTTTAAAGACATCAATTATTATAAAATTATTAAAGACATTCATACAATACTGTTGTAAATTACAGTTGTACTGTAAAATAAAAAAAATAATTTGATTATTATAATATGGTTCTACACTACAAGTTACCAATATTTGTCTTAAATGGATAGGTCACCAAAAAATACAAATTCTGTTGAAAATCGATGAAATGAAAAATTACTCACCATCAAGTTGTTCCAAACCTGAATGAATTTCAACAGTTGTTGGTCCCCATTGACTTTATTTTATGTATTTTTTTTATACTATGGAAGTCAAACTGTTTGGTTACCCATATTCTTCAAAATATCTTCTTTTATGTTTAACAGAAAAAAGGAACTCAAAGGTTTGGAACTTTAGGATGAGTAAATGATGACAGAATTTCATTACTGAGTGAACTTCATTTTCAAACATTCAAACCCTTGAAGATTTTAACATTTCAAATCTACAAGCTTATATTTTGGGGAATACCGGTGAAATTATGTGAACTTCTGTCTACAAAAATGTTGGGAATTATGCAAATGTGTAAATAAAGTGAACCGAGAGCACAATGGACAAAAAACACAAAAACAAAATGCACAAAAAAACTCTGAAGCACACAGTGCAAAAGACTATGCTTATCTAAATCATAGCCTTTGATTTGATAATTGCACTAAGCTATATTGTGATTTTTCTATTTTATTTTCATTAATTGTACAGCCTCATTTGTTTATTTCAATTTTACATTCCATTTAAACATTAGCTTTTCATCAACTCAAGAGCCTCCTGCACTTCACTTATGAATCCCTTAGGGCTTCACGAACCACATTTGGGAAACTCTGGCCTAAACACTGAAGAAAAAGAAAGCCTGTAGAAGCCCTCACCTCATCACTGACTAACACATGGATACCAGTGGGTCCCTGCTTGAAGATCTGACTGATCTGGCGTGGAGAGATGCTGAAGAGCTGAGCCAACTT